TTATTAAGATAATAGAAAATTACAGTGAAAGACATGGTATTGATATTCCAATCTAAAAACAACTGTTTTAGAGCCTCCGGGAGCCTCCTCGTACTGTGAATAGAATAAAGGGGTGGCAGCGGAAGCCATGGCTACACGCAATCACTCCACTTAGTCTGACAGCTCCACACTGGGAGAAAAGAGTATCATCTCCTTGGAAATGCTATCCGTGATGACACCTTTGGTGTCTAAAAAAGCCTTTCTCTCTCTTAACCATTCATCCATTATTAAGTATATTCTCCCCATAATACTAAACAATGAATCAATGAAACATGCCCCCTTCTGTTAACAATGCAGAATCTATCCCCTTGAGGCAAGTGTTCTTGGTTTTTCAATTTGTTGACTATCATTTTTAGCAAAGCTTTTCCCCCTGCAGATGCAAAACCAACACCTAGTTAGAAACTTTCCTTTCAACCTTAAGAACATGTTAATGTTTCCCGAGTCTATAGTCACTTTAAATTTTACACACTAAGTAAACGAGCAGTCCTTGTTGGTGTTGTTGTTGTTGTTAGGGGCAGTCCAGTGGGCTCTGACTCACAGTGATCCTATGGACAGTTGAACAAAACACTGACCAGCCGTGTCTACAGTACACGAAGTGTAGTCTCACCATCTTCACTTCTGAGGTGTATTCTGACAATACTTCCCCCAAGACAGATGTTTGTTCTCTGACCGCCATGGTACTTTCAATATTGTTCACCAACATCATAACTCAAATATATGAATCATTATGAGGTCTTCCTTATTTACTGTCTAGCTTCTCGCAGTCATATGAGGTGACAGAAAATCACTGGTCAGGCACATCGGAGTCCTCCGAGCGAAATCTTTGCTCTTCAACACTTTTCATGGGCATTGCACAGCATGTCTGCCCAATGCTCTGCATCCCTGGGCCATGCCTCAAAGAGGGTTGATTGCGAATCAAAGTCAAATAAAACCCTTGCCAACCTACGTCTGTGGATGATTCATCACGATATTGTCTAATGGTCCAGTTGTGAGAACTTTCTGTTTTCGTTACACTGAGGACTGCAGTGCAGTCCTTGGTCTACAAAATTAAATGTTTCAAGTCCTATTTGTTTTCTAAAAGCAAGATTAGGTTATCTGAATATTTCAGGCTGTTATGAGCCTTCCTCCAGCCCTGATGCCACAGTCTTCTTCATAGAATGCAGCCTCTCAGATGATTTGCTCAATATATCAACTGGATGAGTCTGATGAAAGGATGCAATCCTGAAGCAACCAGGCCTGAATTTCAGCCATGCGGTAGCCCCTGGTTCTGTTGAAAGGTTCTTTTTGACGATGAGTGGGAAACCGGTCCTCTGGAGTTTGTCATTCCAGGTATAGTCGATATTGACCCGGCCAAGGCCAGTCCACATCAGCTCACGAATGTCTAGGACGGAAGCCCACTGGTACTGTCATGTGAGCATTACAATCGCAACTGCGAGCTCAGCAGTTCAAACTCACCTGCCTCTCCACGGGAGAAAGATGAAGCTCTCTCCTAGCAGCCAGATTTACGGTCACAGAACCCCACAGGAGGTCACCGCGAGTTGAAATAAACTCACTGGCAATGGAGTGCCGAAAACATCAAACTTTACATGCTCCATATCATTTTGATGACTTCCCACTTTCCTATATTCATACTTCAGATAGTCTGTGTTTGGCTGGATATTCGCAATTGTTTCTTTCATTTGGGGTCATGCTCCAAAATGTCATGCTCCTTCAGTAAAGGAAGGTCCACAAGTTTTGCTCCATACATGTTATTAAGGTTCACATTTACTCTAAGCAGGCAGCCTTCCCTAGTTGATTTGGTTAGTGCCTTTTCCTTTTGTTTTTTTGAACGGAATTATCTTCTCCCTTAAACACCTCTGCTGCGTCATCATGAGGACATGGTGGGAAATAGAACAGCTCTTACCTTAACCAGTAGTCATCACATTAATTATTTCAAAGAAAAAGCAATTTTAGGACAAAAATGTGTCCGTCTTAATGGATAAGCCAAACTTCATGACTAATTTTTCCGCCATCATTTGCAACTGAGCTTTTTTCAGTCTTTCAGCAAATGTCGGTAAATGAGTTTTGTTACCAAGCACTATATGGGAGTGGAAGAAAAGCAATACATAGGTGTGTATGTGTGACAGCGAGGGATTGTTTCAACTAGACAATTCTGGGTAAGGCTAGGAGAAAGGCTCAACCTACCACTTGCACCTCTGCCTGATGACATCTTGTTCATGTCATAAGCCTTTCGGTATAAAACAGAGATCAAGCTGGGTCATATCTTCTTGAGTCCAACTTAGGCTTTTGCAGGAGCTGTCTCTTGCATCTGGTTCTTCAACTTCCTGTTACGTTGCCAGCCAGTCTCAGGAGCCATCAGCAGACTATCGCTTGTGGATTCCACTGACTTTGGACCTCAGCATCCACCAGCCTGTGCGCCCTGCTGTCGCTGCATCATCATCCTGCTTCCTGTCCATTGACTTCCATGAGTCCGAAGAAGACTGACTTGAACCAGCCTAGACTTACCTATTTCTACAACTGTGTACCCATTTCCTGAAATAAATCGCTCTATACAACACATACAAGAGTCACTGGTGTTGCTTCACTAGAAAAGCCAAGCAGGGTGTTAGAAAAGGGAAAACCAGACACTGATAAGGCTTTATGGAAGCTAATGAAGAGCAAACACTATCAGGAAGGAGAAGGAAAAGTTGCCATTCAAAAGCACATAAAACATGCAACATCTTATGTTTTTGGCCCCTCTTTCCATTCCTATAAAATAAGTTCTCACGTTGCAGTGTCAAGACTCCATCTGTGTAACTGCTGGTTCAACATTACTGACTGCACCATTGTTGAAAAACAAGTCACTGCCAGTTTAAATATTCCTAGCTCATTGATTGAACTCTTCGACTAGGAGTGGATGCTGTGATGAAAGCCAGCCTTTTGTTATTTTCAGAATATGGACCCTAACTGTTCCTGCATTTGGATAACTCCTTCAAGGTAATTTTTCAGTTCACCATAACAAAGCATAAAAGGTAAGGGGGAAGTATGAATTTTGTGATCAAAAAGTGTTAACATTATGAATAAGATTAATCTTACTGGGTTTTTATCTAATGTGGATGGTTACTAAAAAATAAGTATCAATTTTCCTTTTTCCAAAGCAGTAACAGATTTGATCTCCTTAGGTTTAGGGGATCCTTCACTCAAATACACATCTTTCCTGACTGCTACTCATTCCAACAACTCCAGAACGAAGTGCAGGGTCAACCAAAGGTCTTTTGTAGAAGAACTGTGAGACCCACCGTGGGTGTTCAAAGGGAGGATGATGAAGACTGGTCTGTTTGCTTTAGCAATTGTGCTTTGAGGCTAAATAACAACTGAACCTAAATTATGAGTAAGACAAAAATAATAACAATGAACATTTTGTAACATCACATATCAGGACTTTTGCCAACTATTTTGTCTATAAGAATTTTTTCCCCTTAAAAATAATTCTCAGCCTGTGTGATCATGAGGTGCCGAAGGGATCAGTTATCAGGCATCAAAGAAATCATATCATTATGTGCTCACCTCCCCGATATGATCACTGAAGACAGATGTGTGCATAAGCAAATGTGGTGAAGAAAGCTGATGGTGCCCGGCTATCAAAAAATACAGCGTCTGGGGTCTTAAAGGCTTGAAGGTAATCAAGCGGCCATCTAGCGCAGAAGCAACAAAGCCCACATGGAAAAAGCACACCAGCCTGTGTGATCATGAGGTGTCGAAGGGATCAGGTATCAAATAATATAAAATCATATCTTTGTGAATGAGGGGGAGTGCGGAGTGGGGACCCAAAGCCCATCTGTAAGCAACTGGACATCCCCTTATGGAAGGGTCATGTGGAGATGAGCCAGTCAGGGTGCAGTGCAGCAAAGATGAAACATACAACTTTCCTCTAGTTCCTAAATGCTTCCTCCCCTCACCCCCTATTATCATGATACCAATTCTACCTTACAAATCTGGCTAGACCAGAGGATGTACACTGGTACAGATAGCAACTGGAAACACAGGGAATCCAGGGCAGATGATCCATTCAGGACCAGTGATGAGAGTGGCGATACCGGGAGGGTGGAAAGAGGGTGGAGTAGAGAGGGGGAACTGATTATAGGGATCTACATATAACCTCCTCCCTGGGGGATGGACAACAGAAAAGTGGGTGAAGGGAGCCCCATAATCTAGAGGGTTATGTATTGGGCTGCTAACTGCAGGTCAGCAACTGGAAACCATAGCCACTCTGAGGGCGGCTTTCTACTTCCATGAAGATGGCTAGTGTGGGACACCCATGGGAACAGTTCTACTCCATCCTATGGGATCACAGAGTCCAAATTGATTCAGTGGCTGTGGGAGGTAATCTAGCCCCTTTTCTAACCTTCCCTTTACTTTCCTAATTATCTTATCTGGTAGAAACAACCCCTAAGGCCCTCCTTTCATACTAGGTGACTCCAATATGAATTTATTTTTTAATTCCATGCTTCAAATGATATGAAGTGAATAAGCATCTTTATTGCTTCTTCTATAAGTTTAGAAATAGTGTCTTTAGAGTCTACTTAAAGGAATATGCTCTGCTGGCAATATGGAAGAAGCAAAATATGGACTAGAAGTTCATAAGACACCTTTCTTCTGGTCTTGACATTTGCTACTATATGAAGGGGCTTCAAAAGAGTTCTTGGAAAACAGAATAAGAAGATAGTGAAATATTTCCATGCACTTCTTTAAGCCCCCTTCTAGGTGCTCAAGCTTTTTCTCCTATAATGTAAAATAAAAACTAGAGTGCATAGTTCACTGCCTGATGGAGTCACATGGCCAAGCTACTTCAGATGTTGTAGCATAGCTTCTCCAAGAAAGCGAAATCAAACTCCTCCCCGAGGAGCACAGCAGTACATTGGCGATTTGTCAGCATCTCCTCCAAAGTGGGCAAGTATCAATACTAAGCGTGCTCTCCTCACCTGGGTCGGGTGGCATGCAGGCACAGGAAAACTGAGTGCTGTAACCCATTTTGAAGTTGGAGTTGATGGGGTAATAATCTGCCAGCTTGATCATCTTCTTGAAAGCATCATAGATAAAGATGAAGCTGATCAGAGAAGAGAAGCCTTCTTCCGTGAATCGAGTGAAGTACTGAACCAAGAAGCTGGCATCGGTAGCTACCAAAATGAGACACAGGAAGGCTGACCAGAGGCCAATCCAAAGGCGGAACTCTAAATAGTCAAACTGATGGTCCCTGGGAAGAGAAACAGAGGCATTGAGTCTCCTTGTCCATGCAACATAAAGCATATAGAACTATCAAACGTCTCTACAGTGATTGCTAAAAAGAGAAGATTACATTTAGTCACTAGCTATCAAGCTCATTCTGTATTGTATCTAGAAAGTATTCATTTCAAGGATATGATCCAGTGATTATTATACTGCCATAAATAAATAATTCCAGCAATTCGATAAAGATACAGGGAATCCAGAGCGATGAGCCCTATAGGACCAGTGGTGTGAGTGGCAAAACAGGAGGGCAGAAGGAGAGTGGGTAGGAAAGAGGGAACCGATTACAAGGAACTATATGTGACCTCCTCCCTGGGGGCCAGACAACAGAAAAGTGGGTGAAGGGAGACCTTGGACAGGGCAAGATATGACAAAATAATTTATAAACTATCAAGGGCTCATGAGGGAAGGGGGGAGCGGGGGGGGGGGGGGAAATTGGGGCCTTGTTGTTGGGGGTTTAAGTGGAGAGAAAATGTTTTGAGAATGATGAAGGCAATGAATGTACAAATGCGCTTTACACAATTGATGTGTGTATGGATTGTGATAAGAGTTGTATGAGCCCCTAATAAGATGATTTAAATAAATAAATAAAATAAATTTTAAAAAATACTTTCAAAGTCATCATGTTGTTCTAAGTAAATAATTGATTCATTTTCTCATTGAAAAATATGGTGCCCACATTCCTGGAGTTCACAGACCACACGATTTGAAAGCATGACACTGGCACCTGATCATGTGCTCAATAAAGGTCTGTGACCTTTCCTTCATTACTGAAGACCCCAGAGTAAAGACTCCCCTGCTCCCACGTTGTCAGAACTTTTGGGGTCCTAAAGAAATCACATTTCACAATGCTGAGTGATAGCTCAAGGGCCCCGCAAAGTGTCTCAGAGGAGGCAGTCATACATCCTGGGCAGGGGCGTAGGTGAAGAATGCAGAGAACTAGAACTCAAGGTGTTCTAGGATAGTAACAGTCTTCCTGGCCAACCAGGGAAGATCAGATCAGGAAAAGGACGATGTCTATAAAAAAGCCTGAGGTCTGAAAAGACCTGGGATGGCCCACTGAATAGTGGATATCACCAACTACAGAGGTGAGATTAGAAATGGAGGCTGGCCTCCAACGAAGAAAGGCCATGCTTGCCTTTCAACAACTTCTCATCAGACTTGGTTAGCCATAGGCTCTCTTCTGCTGGATTTGCCTGCGCAGTCTCTGAATACATACATCCCTCACCAGACTGAGTATCTGCAACCCCTCCCTAAAGAGGTCATTGTTTTTAGATGTCCTTTCCAATTCTTTCAAGTGAATTCATTCAAGATTCACAAAGGGGAAAAAGTGAATCAATGAAATGATTATCTTACCATTTCATACTGAATCTGTTCAAACTATGTGGAGAATGCATTAGAACATTTGCTTTAAAATCAACTTATTTGTGATACACAAGTAGATAACACATTTTTTTTTTGTATGAGAATAAAGAAATAAATCAAGGTTCATGCATGACTATTAGTCAATCTGTTTCTGATGGGTGCTATTCAGATAGTCCATCTGTTTCTTTCCCTCAAGCACCATTCTTTCTCCTTCAACTCGACTGATGTCGTCGAGCCCCCTTCTACAGTGTGTGCTTGATTCTAAGAGCCTCCTTACTGATGTCCTTACTTCCGGGCTCATCCTGCTCAGATATTTTGTACCCCTCATCAAAAAAAACCCACAAAACTTTAAAAGTGTATGCTTGAAACCACTCAGTCATATCTTCATTGTTCTCCCACTACTCCTAAAAAACGATTAACCCCTAAAAGACCAGCAGAAGAGACATGCTCTGAATGTCGATCTTCTGTTTTACTTCTTCTTTACTGATGTGAAAAATCATGTGCGGCACACAGACGTGCCCAATAAATATGCGCTGAATTCGTGAAAACCTGCCCGGGACATGAGGGTGACAGTTACCGGCAGAAAGTGATCCTGTGTAATGAGGAGAGAACTGATCCTGTGATAACATAATTATAGAGGATTAAAATTCCAGGTTCCTTAGCTATCAAAAACTAAAATGTGCCTTATTTTAAAGATGAAGACTGCAAGGTCAAGGAAAGTTAACGGATTTATCCATCGCTAAGGATTTAATGATAGAGCCAAACCAGAAAGCCAATCTCTAGATCTGTGAGCAGGTCTTTTAAAGAATGATACCATGGTTTCTCGTCAAGCTGTATCCGACTCGTCGCCTGTGGACATTGACGGTATTGTGCTCTGTTGCCTACTCACCAAATGAATGACACAGAGTAGACGAAATCACCAAAGCAGATCATTAACAGTGAGGCAGAAAGTTACCTTCCACGCACGTTTGGGAATCTGTCTTGGGCTTTGCCCTCTCTGCTGGTTTTGGATATGCCTGGAACCCCACTGTTAAATCTTTCACCTGCCTTTGTGAAATAAGGAGACTACAGAAAAAAACAAGTTCTAGGAATTTGAGCTCATTCACTTTATCATAAAGTGAGTCAGGGTCAGGGTCTCAGAAAGAGAATCTTACTGATTCTAAGGCAAATAGGCTCTTTTCTTAACGCTGTAAACAATTGGCTAGTTTTGCTTCCTAACAAGATGAAAGATAACGCACACTCTAAGCCTTAAACTCAGTGCCATCGAGTCAATGCAAACTCATAGTGTGGCAGTCACCTAATCTGGTGTCAATTTAAGGATTAAGAGTGTAGGGGTGGAGTCGAGGCTGTCAATCTGGAGATAGCTAATGAGACTTCTGTGTGGGTATGGCCTTCTCCTGAAAGTTCTGGGAAATCTGGTACTTCCTCCTTGGAGGTGGAAGTCACCTCTCTCTTACTCCCTGGAGTAAGACAAGTCACATGGATGCAACCAGAACTCGGAAGCCAGAGAAGCCACAAAGAGACCCCCGCCAGCACTGAGATGCGTACGACCCCACGGGACCCAAAGACTTTCTACCCACTGGCCTGTGATCGTCTTGCATTTGGCTTCATTGCATGTGTTTCATGAGTCTGAAGAGGACTTTATAGATTGGTATTGGACATATGGGTTAATATCAGACTTATGGCCTTGGACTGGACTGGTTTGGGATGTTTTCTCAATGTTCAATTCCTCTTGTATATAAACCTTTCCCTTATATACATATGCGTGCTTATGAATTTGTTTCTCTAGTCTACCCAGACTAACACACATAGTGACCCTCCGTGGGTTTATGCGGCTGTAATTGTGTATCTCCCATGGAACTTCTGGTATTTTTGAACCGCCATCCATGCAGATCACAGTCAAACATTTAAGCACTCTACACCAGAGCTATATAATCTTGACGCCTTCTAAAATGCTAGTTGGTTGTTTATAGAATTGATGTGTACAAGACTGGATGAGAAATAAATCAACTAACTAGTGAATGATTAAGAGCATCGTCCATTGAGTTACAAAGGGGGAAAATGCATGTAAATAAACTTAGGACATTAGAAAACATGCCTAAACTAACTGCTCTAATAAACTTCAACATTCCTAAAGTAGGCTAACAAGAATGATTCAAATAAAGTCACAAAAACCAACAGTACTCTATTCTGAAAATGAAATAGAGAAGAAGAAAAATAAGATATGAGAAAACAATTTTAAACAAATTGATCATTAAAGATTAAAATAATGCTACTATTACATCCAATAACATTATTATTCCCCTGGTGTCAAGTTTAACTGTCAATGTAGTTGGGAAAAAATACAGGAAATGATAACAGAGCCCGATGAAACAGATGAATCAGAAGAGGGAAATGGACACGAGAGGAAGTTTAAAAAAAAAAGTAGGGACAGTAAGGTTCGAGCTCCAACATGCAGGGGCTTGCAGCAAACAAACGATGTTGGCACACTCTGCAGTCGGTGGACAGGTGCAAACAAGTCCCCTCGGTAATACACGTGTCTTCAGCTTGTTCACAAAAAGAATATCTTCAAAGAAACGTCTAATCAAAACAATGGCTTCTGAGGGAATCAGCTGAACCAACTTGCGTCAGAGCAGAGAGGTCAGTCAGAAGGTTCTGGTGACTGTTTTGGGGACTCCAAAGGCACAGTCTTGACAGAGATTTTCAAAGGATGACCATGGAAGTTCATTCTGAAGAAGCTGTAGGAAAACTATCAGCTACATTGCTGACAAAAGGCCAGGACAGTTGCACCAAGGATTTTTCTCTCTCATCCTGACAAGGCATCTGTTCATTCTCCGAGGGCGGAGAGGACTAGCCTATGAAAATCTTGTCCTATCCATCCTACATCCTTGATCTTGCCCCTGGGGGATTTCTTCTTGTTCCCCAAACTCAACTAACATCTGAAAGGAACATGGTTTGAGTTCCTAAAAGATGCCCAAACTGTCATTTTAGTGTGGTTTAAGTCAGACTTCAGAATTCCTCAAGGAAGGGTTAAGAAATGGAAACACTGCCTACAATACCAGCCTAGAGGGAGGACATGTTGGGCATAGTTTCACATTTTGATATTTTTGCTTAATAAAGGAAACGATGAAGTCAAAGAGCTGGACAGAAAATTCCAGCATAGTCAGCCCAAGATGACAAGTAGTACACGGGAATGTGTACAAACGTGCAGGCAGAGAGCCAAAACGGAAGAACACGTGCAGTGCATTTCAAGCTGAGCAAATTGAAGAAAGAAGCCAAGCCCCAAGTTGAGATGTTGAAGGATTCTATGGGGAAAATGTTGAAAGATATAGAAAGTATCAAAAGACAATGGACTTGATCTATACAGTCATGTACCCAAAAGAACTGTTTGGTATTCAACCACTTCAATAGCATATGATCAATAACAAATGATTCTGAAGGAACAAAGCTGCCCTGAAGGCATTAGAGGGTAAAAGAAAAAGCTCCAACAATGAACAAAATACCCATTGAAATGTTTCAGCAAGCTGATGAAGCAAGGGAGGCCCTAACTCATCTATGCCAAGAAATGTGGAACATAGCTCTCTGGCCAAAAGAATGGAAGAGATTCATATGTGTGCTCATTCTAAAGACAGGTGACCCAACCTAATGTAGAAATTATTGGTCAATGGCATTGACCAATACAACATACAAGGGAAATTTCGCTGAAGATCATTCAATAGCATTTCCATCAGTACCCTGAAAAGGCGTTGTCAGAAAGTCAATCTGGATTCATAAGAGGATGTGGAAAGGGCTATCATTACTGAAACCAGACAAATTTTTGTCTGGCGGAAGAGCAGAAAGGTACTGTGTTTTATCGACCATGTAAACGCACTTGACTGCGTGGCTCTTAACAAACTACGGCTAACCTTCAGAAGGACAGGGACACCAGAACATTGCGCTCATGTAGAAAATAAACATGGAACAGTTCAAATATTCAAACAGAACAAGAGAAGATTTCATTATTTAAAATCAGGAAAGGTGTGTGAAAGAGCTGAAGCTTTTCATCGGGTATATTTCTTTTGCCGTGCAAAAAATCCTAAAAGCTGCACGGGATAACGAGTTTGCGTGTCAACTTGGTTGGGCCAGGTCTTCCTCATGATGTGATAAAACATAATCAAAGTCCCTGGTGAGATCTCCTGTGAGCAAACAAGCAGGCGTGGAGGCGTTAAGATGGGTTGCTATTGTTGAAGTTAAGTGCTGTCAAGTCCAGACTCATAGGGATCCTATGAACAACAGCACAAAACACTGCACGTCCCTGACCATGTTCACCCTCGCTGTTATGTTTTAGCCTATCTTTATCCTTTAATGAGATCACAGCCTTGATATAATTAAAAGGAAGTCTCCTATTCCTACTTAAGCAGACTATGTGGTAAGCCTTGTACTTCCTCCTCTCCTTGACGGTTGGAATTTCATAACTGCTCAATGGCCTGCCGTATTACCTGCTGGCCCTTGTGCTATCAACAGCCTGCTACATTGCCTGCTGAACTTGCATCCAATTGATTGTGCAGCCATGAGCCTGACCTACTGACCTTGTATTCATCCGCCTTTGCCTCTATCAGCCTGTGGTCTACCTGACTCTTAGTATGTCTTCCTGTTTCCTCAATCCTGGCAGCTACTCAAGTCAGGGAAAAAACCCGATTAACAACCAGCCCATGAACTTGACTTACCTGCTTCTACAACTGTGTGAGCCACTTTCTTATTATAAAATTCTTTGGCTAGATGTATGTATATACATATATGTGACTGCTTATGCTTCTTTAGAGCACCTAGCCAAACACATGGGATTCTAGGAAGAAGAATTCAGTATTCGGATTAGAGGAAGGCTTATGAGTGACCTGCAGTCATCAGATGATGCACTCATGCTTACTGAGAAAGCACAGGACTTGAAGCATTGGCTGATGAAGATCAAAGATTGCAGGCTTCAATATGGATCATAGCTCCATGTAAAGAACACTAAAATCCTCTCAACTAGCCCCAAAAGACAGCATCGTGATAGGGCGTAGGGGGAGGTTGAAATTGGCAAGGATTTAATTTTGCTTAGACCCACAGCCTTGCTCCTGGAGGCAGAAGTCAGTGAATTCACTGATGAACTCTGCTGCACAGATCTCTTTAAAGAACAAGAAGGTCACTTTGAAGACAAAGGCCTACCTGACCTAAGACACGGTATTTTCAATGGGCTCATCCAAATGTGAAAGTTGAATAATAAATAAGGAAGGTGAACGAGGAACCAATGCATTTAAATTATGGTGTTTGCGAAGGAGGCTCGTGAAGTGCCATGAACTTTCAGAAGAGCGAACAATTCTCTCTTGGAAGAAGGATAGCAAGAATGCTCCTCAGAAGCAAGGATGGCTAGACTTTGTCCAGATACTCTGGACCAATTAGCCTGGAAAAGGACATCATTCTTGATAAAGTAGAACATCGTCAAAGAGAAGATGACTGCCAAGGATATGGACAGCCATAGTGGCAGAAACAACGAGCTCAAACATCACAAGGGCTGTAAGATGGGGTAGGCCGGGCCAGTGTTTCATCTGGGCATAGTGTCCCTATGAGTCATAACTTGGTGCGGGCACCCAGCAACAACACTGTGATCTTGTAGCAATACTTTTCGGACATGTCACTATATACAAAATTACAAGCTAGATGATCCGGAGTGGACTGTAATATACAGTTCTTCCCAGATATATTGGGATCATAACTTTTTGTGTGTGTGTGTGAAGGCTTTAATGAGACTAGTAGCTAGTAAAACACAATTTGGGGAAATAACACAAAGGTTCTGTATCTCAATAAAATATTAGCATCGCTACTCTAATATATCAGAAAATGAGCTGATATGGTAAATAAAACATGTTCCACAGAAGGGCTACATTATTAACTCAGCCTTGGATTTCAAGCACAATGTCTCAAATATTTCTCATTGTATTAAAAAGCATTTACATATAAGTCTTTTGGAAATATACTTACTTATTAATTATGATGAAACAAGGAAGAAATGTGCTCACTGAAAGAAAAGCATTTCTTTCCCACAATTATCTAAAACAAGCTAGCAGGCAAACATTTTCTGTAGATTAAGGCTCTGATCACAGTGCATCCCATAAATCTTTCTGCAAAGGTTGTGCATGTTTATTCCTGTTTATACTACATGCTTGTTTAATATTTCCACAAAGTTTTTTCTCCACACACAATGTTTTCTTAAACATATAAAAACTGTTTGACTCTTTCTGTAAACTGACAGGAATAGAATTCCTTCCAATGTTCTCCTTAGAATTATGATAGGGGAGGGATTTGTAGGGACGACTTACAGAAAACGTGCAGCATTATTTGGAACTTGAAATTCTCAGAAGACTCTAATGTTCTCAACTCAGTTTTCCAAACACTGGTTTTAAGTCCATGCCCTGGCTGTCTCTTTTGATCATTTTTGATGACACACAGTTTCAAAGGCTAAAAATGAGCCTTTAGGCCCATACATGTAATGTCATTTACAAAATTAAAACCCTAAAAATGTGTAGTAATATGAAAATATGACAATTCCAGCAGAGAGTGTTAGCAAGACAAATAAAATTCTGCCATCTGTGTAAGAAATAAAATCATCTTGTAAAGGCAGGGTATGCTTAGAGATATCAAATACATTAGAAGGAAGCCAGCATACTCCATTTGACTTTGAATCTATTTGTGTGCTTATGGGGCCACTTGGATAATTCACTGAACTCAATTTCCCCTTACTAAAATAAGCCATCATTTTGAAAAAGAAGATATTGAGATCGCAACTGTCATAACCATTAGTATTCTCCAGTGATTTCAAAATAAGCACAGGCACCACAGGCAAGCGGGGTTCAAGTCCCAGACCAGCCTACAGCTGTTTGACTTAGGGCCCCAGTGCTTGTGTTCCCGTCTCTTAAACGAATGATGCTCATGGCCTCTTCCTAATAGATGGCTACAGTCATCAAGGAAGTTAATATAAATACAGCACTTAGGAAATGTGTTTGGTACACGGAAAATGCAATAAATAGCAGTTATTATTCAACTGGATTCTCAAAGGTATCTTTAGTTAGGAACAATGGAATTGGGCTTAGGAGAAGCGGGCCAGTAAAGTGTCTCGTTTCTTTTGTTAATGAACTGCGTGACCCGGAAAAAGTCAGAATCCTGGCACTCTCCACAGCACAGGCACTCTCCAAGAAGATGCGGAGGAAAACGTCACGAAGGGGCCATGGGAAGACTTGTGGGTAGTGAAGTCTGCTTAGGAACTAACTCAGGTAGTAGCAAGAACAGGCAGCAAAGCCTGCCTCTAGGCTTCCAAGAGACACGGAAGGAAAATTGTTACCAGAGGCTGCTGAGGGCTGGAGCAGTGGTAGAGGAGCCACTGGACAGAGCGTCTCGTGTCATCCCAGGGGACGTGTCACTGTCAGACTGCAGTGCTGAAGCAGAAATAGTGAGGAGGGCAGGGGAGTGGGAGAAGATTCACCCGAGTCTCTGTCTCTTCTCATCCTCGGATCCCTTGCTGAGGCTGCCTGTTAGCCAAACCAACAGGAAGCCAGGGGCAAAGGGGCCTGGGTGTTACTGTCCTGGGGATCAGCTCCCAGGGACATAAAGCGTGTCAAGAACAAAGAAAGACTAGGGAGGGGAACCAAAATGCAATACCACATAGCATGACTTCAACTCTAAGGCCCCTTCCATTTCCAATTCTAAAATTCCCAGTACCCGTGGATCTCCCTAATTACGACTCTCTACGTTGTCTAGATTATGAATATTCTACAACTAAACAAGTGTAAAGTATAATCAGCACATATACATACTTGCTAAAATTAAACAGAAGCCTCTCAAAAACTAGAACAGGTCCTGTACTGCTCAAAATAGTAAGTGGTTGACCAGCAAAAAGGCAAAAGATGGCTCCAGAGACAGCAGTGCCCAGGAAACTCTCCAACACACCCTAGAGAATGAAAAAATAGAGGCGTTAAGTGAAACACATCTTGTTTTTCCTTTCTATCTGTCACTAGAGGGATCAAGTTACACACACACACAATAAATAAACAGAAACAACATCATTGCCATTAAGACGATTCTGATTCATAGTGACCCTGGAGGACTGGGTGGAACTGCACCTGTGGGTTCCTGAGCCCGTAACTCTTCAAGAGAGTAAACATATTCTCCTGTCTCCTGAAGAGCAACTGGTGGATTCAAACTGCCGACCTAGGCGTTACCACCCAATGCAGAACCACTATGCCACCAGGGGTCCTAATGAAGTCACAAGAAGGTGCTTTCAGAAGGCCTTAGTCCTGGTGATGTAATGAGTTACACATTAGGCTGCTAACCTCAAGGTCAGCAGTTTGAAACCATCAGCTGTTCCAAGGGAGAAAGATGAGGCTTTCTACTCCAGTCAAGAGTTATATCCTCTGAAGTCCACAGGGCAGTTCTACCTTGCCCTATAGAATCGCTATGAGATGGGACCAACTCTAAGGCACTGAGAAGAAATATATCAAACAAATATGAATACAGATTACCAAAGCAAATATCACCCTATGTTTCACCTGAGGTCCTTCCTTCCTAGTAATGTAAAGGATTGGATTGCTCTAAAGAACTGTAAGGAACTATAGTCACTGGTAGCAGACTAAGGGAGAGAAAATGTGGCGCTGATCTGTACTGAAAATATTAATTGAAGCGACCATTGCATTCAACAGTACTCCCACATGGGGAAAGTAAAGCGGGCCCTGTGATGCTGTTTCTCTTGTGGTTGTTCTTAATGTTTGTTTTGCCTGATTTCACCTTGCATGGAGAAAACCTTTGCTGTTGACTCCATTCCAACTCATAGTGGATAACGGTATAACGGTTGCATTGGGTTTCCAAACCTTTATAGAAGCAGACTGCCGCATCTTTCCCCCAGGGAGCTGCTGATGGCATTGAACCACAAACCTTTCCGTGATTAGCAGCCGAGTGCTTAACCTCTATAACACCACAGTCCTTACGCTCAAAGTGGGAACTTATACATTTCCATCTTTTTGTACAGAAAATATTTCTCTTGCTATGGGAAATATTTTCAAGTGGAGATGGGGGAAAATGAGAACATGAATGTAATTCATTATCCATTCTGCAATTTGTATGATACAATTTTTCAAATTATCATTATATGTTATCCAATATAAACATATGGTAGAGCTGTTCCTAACTCAATCTTTAGGAGAAATAAGTGTGCAACAACATAGCTAATCCTTGTAGGAAAGATCTCTGGCAACCAGCCCATTCTTTTCGTTTAGTATAGAGCAAGAAAATAGAAACATGGGTTCCCAAGCATTACTGACCTATCAAATTAACCTCATAGTCTGTTTGTAATTGTCTCGTGCAAGCCCAAAGCCTCAGGTAAAGTAGCCCACTTGCTTTTTTTAAAATTTCAAAATTCAGTTGAAAAATAAAAACATATACCAAAATTAAGAAGAATCTTTGTAAGTTTAAATAGTATTTTATAAAGGGATAATTTATAAATCCCAAAAGAGAACCTATCTATTATCCTTACACAAGACTATTAATCTGGACAGTAAAACATGCAAAGCAGAACAGCTTCAAATGAGTAAATAATCTATGTTTTTAAAAGACATGACTGTATTCAAGCTAATTTACACAGAAGAAGGATACTATGTCTGATCTGTAAATTTATGTGTAGTCTAAAACAAAATGGCACTCTGGACAATTTCTCTTTTCAATAAAACTAGAAATTATATATTCATATCATTCTGCTTCATTTTTGCAAAGAACAAGTACCCTTTTAACACCAACCACCCTTGACTGAAGCAGAATGAATTTCTGGGGAACCCCCGGAAGTACTCAATCATTTTCTGCCTCCTTAATTAACCTGAGCACCTGTCATGTCAGCCTCACTAAACCACCTTTCTATAACTCCAAAATGTTCTCCAGAGACTAAGCACTCACTTGAAAATTGTAGGGAAAATATAATGTACACAAAGTAATTGTGAAGATTTTTTTATTAACTTAGATAACGTATACAAACTCCCATCCTTACTCAAAAACCACCTCTTTGAGGTTTCAAGTGTGGCTGAAGGGTCCTGCAAAGAGTCATCACTTACATCTGTGGTTCAACTTGTGGGTCATGATACCTTTGGGGGTCGAACGACCCTTTCACAGGGGTCACCTGATTCATAACAGCAGTAAAGTGACATGTATGAAGTAGCAATGAAAATAATTCTATGGTTGGGGGTCACCACCACATGAGGAGTGTATGAAAGGGTCGCGGAGAACCCCTGCCTTACATGAATCTGAATTCCAGTATGTGGCTGAAGAGCGCCCCCTTTTACTATGCAGCCGCTCCATGCGATCAGAACGCCTGGCTCACGCGTCCTGACAGAAACAGAAGCAGACTCACAAGCAAGACTGGGAGCACCAGAACACACTTTTTCTGAAGACAGAAAGCTGTCCTTCGATATTGAGATTCAAGGTTCAATGATTCGTACTAGGAGAAAGTATGGCACAAGAAGTCTTTAGAGCGTGGACCTGCCCATCCACTACCTCACCCTTGAAAACAGAAAACTATGCCTTAGGCTGGAATTTCCTTGTGCACTTTTTCACCTCCTGTGCATTAACACTGGACTTTAAAAATAATTATTTTGGTTTTGGGGAAAGTTCCTGAGTAAGCTCGTTTTCCTTGTGTCCGACGCTGGTGGTCATCCCCTGGATGTCCCAGCTTTCTTCCCACCTCCCCCCTGGGTTCTCAGTCTGCATCTGCCCTTCTTTCTTTTCTGTCCCTTCGTGTCCTCTGAACTTGGTGAACGAATCAATGCCGCCTGTCCCTTTGCTCTCCTGAGCAGTGTCTTCCTCGCGGCATCACTGTCCACTGTAGAACGCTGGCTATTGTTCCTCTGAGAGGTGAGCCCAGGTCCAGTTCCAGGAGTGGGGGAGGGTCAAGATCACAGATCTTCCACCGGTCTCTCTCTGCCCAGTCATTCTGCAGGCACTGTTCCACATTTTCTGTCTTTTTTTAAATTGAGGAAGCTAATTTTACAAATTGCCATTCATTTTTAATATACATTATTAAGCATTACTAGCTATTATAGACATTTAGTCAACAAACATTTATTGAGTACATATGAAGTGCCAAACTTAATTCTAGCATATTATGCTTCATATTCACGGTTTACATTGTATGTGTAAATGTTTGCTTATAATTCAATGTTTTGGTTTTTAAAGATCATTTTGTTGGGAGCTCTTATTGTTCGACATTTCTGTCCCACTCTCTGGTCTATTGGGCTCCCGGTCAGAGTGGTCAGCAGGGGCAGCCAGGCACCATCTAGTTCTTTTCATCTCATAATAGTGGAGGCTGAAGCTTGTGAGATGCTTTCGTCCTTTAGAATTGTTTCATGTTTCTATGTTCTTCACTCGTCTCTGCTCCAGACAGGAAGAGACCAGTAGTTGCAATCTAAATGGCTGTTCACAAGCTTTGAAGATTCCAGAGCCAATAAAACATTGTCTCGCTAATAAAACATTGTCTATCGCTAATAAAACATTCCCTATGTTCTGGCAATTGACCTGGATGTTCCCTTCAGACCATGTACTCTAAGTCCCCACACCCAGTGACTCATTCCCTGGCGGTTTGGAAGTGCTAAGGCAATTTGTCCCCTGTGTGTTCCACCATATCCATGAATCTATCTGCAGCCCACACAAATATAGGTAGGAATATCCCCTGCCAGACCTATACACACCGCGAGTGTGGTCCTACAGGCTTTCCCACACCGGTCCAGTCACCTACCTACCCATTACTGTTTGTTATTGCAAGTTTGTGTGTGTAATAGTGTCTGTGTGCATTGCCTCTCGCTCTGGCATCTCTCCTGGTATCTGCCCCTTTGTCTTGGTCACACTGTGCTGACCTCCTCCTGGTACATTGTATTTCCCTTCACCCACATTCCGAGGTGCCCACTCTCTAGCTACTGATTTTGCCTCCCCAACCCTGGTCACCGTCAATATTTCTTTCTCTCTCTAATCTTTTCCTGGTCGCTTAGTCATTGTAGTTTCATACAATATTTGTCCTTCTGTGATCGATCTATTTCATTCAGCATAATGTCCTCCAAGTTTAACCATGTTATGATGTGTTTTGGAGATTCATCATTATTCTTCAATTCTGCAGAGAAGTGTGTTGAGTATAGGAATCATAATTCATCCACTGGTTGCATAAATATTCATCTTTTTGCTGTTATAAATAATGCTACAATAAACCTGCGTATGCATGTATCTACTCGTACCACGGTTCTTATTTCTCTAAGGGCTTTTACAAAGTAACATACCTTCCTTTTTATGACTTACTTTAATTCATATGTAACATGAAAGGGCAGGGCTTAAATGCTTGCTCCAAATCAAAGTAACACACTGGGTACAGATAAGCTAAGTATCATTGCACATTCTTTATCAAGCATAGAGGAGTGCCTATTTCTCATCATTGTTACAGGATCAAATATAGCATAGCCTGAGTATATGGGAGAACATGAAAGAAGAGAGAATAAATCATAAGATTAAAACTGCCTACTTTATTTGGCATAGCTGTTATTGCCCACGATAACAAAGATTGGGCCCTTTCATGATAGCCATGTTTCTGTCTGCCCATCTCACGATCTACAAGCCCTCCAGGAGCTCTGCCTCCGTGTTCTCAATATAAGCTAAAGCATCTGAGGAAAAAAAGGCCCAAAGATTTGTCGATGGGGGCTACATCTACGTAGGCTAGAGACAAATCACACACTAGGTTCTAGCTATCAGGCAAGAGCCGTTGTTGCTCATTCAGCAGAGATAACAACAAATTTCTTCCAAAAAAAGATTTATAAAAGCCACGAGACTGTTAAAAGGCAGATTATTTTTACCCCAGTACTTGATCCTTTGGTAAATGCTACAGTTTCCATTCTGTTGCTGACAATTTTGAAACAGAGACAGGTGATTTAT